AAAAAGAAAAAATAAAATTAGGAAATATTTGACCAAAGTTCAATAATGTAGTTAAAATTAATCTAAAAGCCAAAGATTCCACGGCAGCGGCGCCAAAATTTGATACGCTCAAATTACACCTCCCTAAAGAAGTATAAGCGATCGTTATCAAGTAAAGAACCCAACTTGTAGGTTGGGGTCGATCCCACGAGGAAAATGGTCTAGACTTAACTTTAACCAACAATTATATTCGTTTAGTTAATTTACTTCCAGAAACAAGTAATTAAAGGGGGGGGGGGGTCTTGTGAAACAAATTGTAAGAATTGAGTAATTAATCAGTAAACAAAAGTAAAATTTGGTTGTTATCAAGATGAGAGAATCAACTAGGGTATATGTGTTCCCCACAAGCTCATAACGCAGTATTCCTAGTAATAGCTATCATGTCCTAGTGTACTACATGCAAAGTGATAAGTTAGGTATCGCTAAGTCCTTGGTCCGACATCTAGAGAATTTCACCCCGCACCTTGGTCCGGCTACGTGTGTATAACTTACTAACCCTTACCTTTACCTCATATTAGACATCACATCGATGTTTGACTTAGTTATTACTTCGCACCAATTGACACTAGCCTATTAGATAGTATCACACTAAATCTATGTTGATAATTCTTTTCTTGTTGATTACCTCCTTGGTCCGGCAAGTAGCAACAAGACGAGCTCTAACGCGTGCACTCATTAAAAACACTTCTAAACGAAAGAATTATCAATGCATGCAACAACACTATTCAAGAATTGCTTATTTACTATTCATACTTTGTTAATCGCTCATGGTTCACACAACCCTAGTTGTGGAGTTTAGTTACCCATAATTATATGAACACAATTCATTGTTTTAGATGAAAGAATTATTAACTTACGTAAGAAGAATAATAAACCCATAAATTCAACTTGAATTGCAACACCAAAATCTTCAAAACGAACTTAGGAAATTAAGAATTGCCAAAGTTGCAAGTCAATCTCACAAGTCAAGAACTAAAATAAAAGTAATAAAGTCTAACCCCCAAAAACGAGGTTTACATGCCCTATTTATAGAAAACAAGTCCTAAATTAAAAGGGAAACAAAATAAGGAAAGTTTGTTCAGGCACGCGTCTTCATTCCACGAGACTAACTCACGGACCGATAATGGATCTGACTAAAAAAGAAACGAAATAAGGAAATTATGTTTAGCTACGCGTCTTCATTCCACAAGACTGACTCACGGACCGTCAATGGATCTACGGTCCGTGAGTACCTTCCGTGAGCCAGGACATAGAAAATATTTCTGCTTCCAAAAATTAGCTTCTCTGAAGCAAACGACGAAACTGTAGTATGGACCGTAGATTGATCTACGGTCCGTCAATCCCCCTCTGTAGCTCCACACTTAGAATCTTCAAAAATCAGGTACTGAAACCCTCGCAGTATCAATCTACGGATCAACAGTATGGTCCGTAGATCAATCTAGGGGCCGTTAATGGTCACTGTGGTTCCACACTTGGTCAGATTTCCCTGACTTTGCCCTTCTATGCCTTGCCTGCTGATCTACGACCACCATCTACGGAGCGTCAATGGACCTACGGTCGGTAGATCACCTCCGTAGATGCCCTTTTCTGCATTTCTTTCAGCTGTCTCTTTACTTCCGCACCTGAACATCTTTCTTGCAAAATATGATAAAAACACATAAAAACCAATACAAAAAGGCCCTAGACACACACAACTTGTAAAGTGAAAATGTATTAGAAATACCGTAAACTCACGGTGTATCAGCACCCTCAACTTAAATTCATTGTTTGTCCTCAAGCGACGCACTACGACTCTAAACGACACTTGTATAGAAGCAAGCATTTCAAGCACAAGCAATCACATGGCTCTCTATCCCACTCACTTTCCGGTTGCAGAATTTGTTCTCTTAGACTCGACAAGCTAATTCATGCGAATCAAACCATGACAACGATCGACCAACCAACACACAACATACATTGTTTCACTATCACCAAAGTACCAACTTTCTGACATTGTAATTAGTGCCCTTACTTCAAATGAAATCCCTCTTCTTTCACATAATGACTATGAATTTGAGTACAAGGATTCATTCAACACTCACACTCAGAAATAACTTCAAGTACAGTTAGTGCTCAGTACCATAGGCTTGCCCTTATTTTCACCGCTTAGACTCTCCAAACTAGACTCTAGTATCACTATAGGACTTTCTTGGCTTGTAACATAGGCTCAGGGTCAGGTGTGGTACATTTTGGGTACTTCTTAGTGATTTTTTGCCCTCCTTGACATTACACTAGGCTTTCAACCTCTTTTTGCCCTATTTTTGTCATCCTACCGTTCTACCTTCTTTCCCTTGATTTTCTTCAACCATAGATGTGACTTGGGACTTTGTAGCTCTTTATTTTATTTTATTTTATTTTCTACTTTTTCTTGCATTTTATTCTTTTCTTTAGCTTTCAACAAGTCACATCCTTTCCATTCTTTTTCAACATCAAAACTCTTTTCATACCCGTGTTTCTTTCGGTTTCCTCTTTCATAGCCACCCTCAACTTATAGATTTTCCATTGGTTGAGGTGCACAATACCCAATGTCGG